GGGAGAGGGACGTGTTTGTAGAATTCTGTATATTTTTAATGGGATATTGCAGTAACAAACTTAGAAGATATAGCAAGAGTTCAAAACAAAAGTTAAAAATGGGTGCTTCTGCCGTAGCTGTCTGGTCACTGCTCTCTTATTCTGGTAAACTGTAACTCTCAAAGTTTTATATATTTGTTACCTGATATAATAGCAGCACAGTAGGCTGTCTTCATCATATGATTGTAGTCTAACAATACAGTGTTCATAGGACGATAATAACCTCTGCCTAATGATGGCTTTTATTAAAATATCAATAAAAATATTAGAGAAAAAAATTGTGCAGAGGGCTTTACAGTTTTCTTATGTTAAAACGTAGGACTATGGACAAGACAGCACAAAATCATAGAACCATAGAATGGCTTGGGCTGGAAAGGACCTCAAAGCTCTTGGTTTCCCAAGGTCCTCTTAAACTACAAGTCTCCTCACTGCTGGTAACGAGGAGAGTATCCCAACCTGAATCAGTCAGAAATATTGCCTAGAAACACTGCTGCAGATTTCCTCACAACAGTGTTTTACCATGCATGTAGACATATGTAAGCTAGCTGTCTTTTGTCCTTTTGTACTGCTTGGTTATTTTGTGCTGTGGCGCAATGCTGTCCTTCAGATGCACTGCTCAAGCCTGGCGTGGCACCCTGATGTCGCTACGCAGATGGTTTTGGCCTCAGAGGATGACAGGCTGCCTGTGATTCAGATGTGGGACCTAAGATTTGCCTCCTCACCACTTCGTGTGCTGGAAAGCCATACAAGGTATGAGTCTACAAAGTCTGCTGCTCCGTGCTGGTTACACTGTTGATGACTGGGTACCAGTTTGTACACCTCACTTCTTGCTCAGTTTCCTGGGAAAGCTCACTTAGCTGGGAGGCGACGATCCCAGCAGCAGGCAGTGTTACGTGCTGGCTTGCTGACTAGCCAACCCTATGTCCTGAAAGGCTTGCCTTTTTGGGGTCTCTTGGTTTGAAGGGAACAGGCCCC